GTTATAAACCGACTCAGGAGATCCTACAGGTAAGAATTTGCCCATAAATGGCAAACATCCATCATGCAGAGACATTTATGGAGGCGAGGGTAGCGAAACTAAAAAAATGCAAAAATTGGCACGCCGAGGGGAGTCGAACCATCAACACCCACCCTTACCATCCGATTGAGAATCCTCCACGCTATCCACTAGGCCATCCGATCGTTGTAGCTGAACACCGCTCCGATCATTGAAGAAACCATCCCGACAAGCCGCCCAGAGGCGTTCGCTGTCAATCACGTGCCGCAAATAAGACCCCATTTGCGACTACTTTCCTCCTCGATACCTATAGTGCCTTTATAAGGACCCACTACTCAGCCACTGGTCAAAGTTGGAAGTGATTTGGAGCCCATAGAAGCTCAAAACCAACCCGTTTCCATACATTTCTTCTTCACTCCTTTTTTGGTATTCAAAGAGCCATTTAGGAAAAATGAACGTCAGTTTGGTAGTCCATGAACGTGCCCCTACATAATGCAAAAAACCGTTTTCAAAAAGCGCGCCACGTCCTGAACGACCTCCCTGGTTAGTGCTCTCCGAGCCATTGCTCAAGCTGCTCGCGTGGCAGCTAGACGTGAGCTTGCGCGTGGGTTGCTTCATCTATTACGATTCGATCAAAACAGCGCATTATGAGTAGCTAGGTGAAAGAACAAATATTGTTCCCATTATGAAGTGCGCCTGGCGAAGCTAAGCCAGCTAAAGATAAGGAGGAGAGCTCGGCGTCAGCCGGGCGTTCCGACTGGTGTGCCCATAAATGAGAAATATCCATCCTCATTGTCCGATTAAGAACCCTCCACGCTATTCACTAAGCGGTCCGATCACTGAGGACTCAAAATATTGAAGAGACTAATCTAAGAGGTGATTCAAGTGAAACCCTACCTGCAGTTTTTTCATCTCGATTTCAGTAGTCCTTCACATGGCCTCTCAGCAACCGGTCAAAGTTGCAAGAGATTAACCGGGCATAGTGGCTCAAAAACGTTCACTTTGCATAGATATCTCTTCCTCTCCTTTTTTAGTATTTCAAGAGGTATTCAGGAAAAATGGACGTCAGTTCAGTAGTCTATGATGTGCCCTATGTCATGCGAGAAACCGTTTTCAACAAATAACTCCACGTCCTTCAACGACCTCCCTGCTGTGTCGTTGTGTGTGTGTGGTGTGTGTGTGTGTGTGTGTGTGTGTGTGTGTGTGTGTGTGTGTGTGTGTGTGTGTGTGTGTGTGTGTGTGTGTGTGTGTGTGTGTGTGTGTGTGTGTGTGTGTGTGTGTGTGTGTGTGTGTGTGTGTGTGTGTGTGTGGTGTGTGTGTGTGTGTGTTGTGTGTGTGTGTGTGTGTGTGCCGGTTTTGTGTGTGTGGTGATGTGTGTTGTGTGTGTGTGTGTGTGTGTGTGTGTGTGTGTGTGTGTGTGTGTGTGTGTGTGTGTGTGTGTGTGTGTGTGTGTGTGTGTGTGTGTGTGTTGTGTGTGTGTATGGTGTGTTGTTGTGGTTTGTGGTCTCTTAACAGGTAGGTATTTCCAGGGTCTGGCGGCTTTTAGAAAGTGCGATTGTGGCATCGTTGTATGGGTCCATATAAGGGTCACTCACAAAAGTGGGTTTTTCGTTTTTGCTATGCATTTTTGGGTATGTCAAAAAAGGGGTGAGAATGCTGAGAAAAAGCGGTTTTAAACCACATTTCTAGGCTCTTTTCCATTTCTAGTGTCTAGTATGCATAGCAAAGGAGAACTTCGTCGACACTGCATCGAAAACAGTTCAAGTCAAGGTGAAAAAGTCATTTATTCGGCACACAGTGAGCTAGCATTGTGGTTTCTCAAGTGATTCTCGCAGCATCCTAACCCGCAGGGGGGGGGGGCATAGTGGTTATTCATTAGAGTTCATGTTGGCGCCGACAATGGCCTAGCCGCAACGCATGACGTCTGTATGAACAACATAGCAGTAACTGCAGACAAATATCCTACACCTGTGAAGAGTCTAAAGTAGAACCAGTTACGCGCGGTGCACTGACGGGTGCCAAAATTCAACCAGCGGTCGGTCAATATATAACCAAAACCTCCGAAATTTCTTTTTTTTTTGCTGGAAGTTCGTATACAGCATTAATTGGTGGCCCCGTCACGTTTTGACACTTAAGACCATTGACGCTAGCATTTCGCTTAATAGCCCCTGCGTGCGGGTTGACAACGTTTTCAGTGCAAGAATGCTCTTGCAGCAAATCGGCGATAGGTTGCGCCGTGGTCAAAAATGAGTGTCGTACTCGTGAGTAGGGCATCCAGTCATCCCCGTAGCCCAACTTTCAGCAAGAGTTTCCTCAGTAATGTTTCGAGAGCGCAATAGTTAAGTAGGGTCGACTCGTGAACTATGAGTGTATAGAATGAGGTCTTAAATGGCATATATCCATGTTATATACATCATCACGCACGCAGGAACACAAGGAGACGGAAATCCGAAAAATGCAAAAAGTTCGTCGCCAGGAGGATCCGATCCATAAACCACCTTTTCGAGAGCCCATCGCACTATCCACTCCGCCATCCGTCCGACCACGAAGCTGTTGTTCGTAAAGTTGAGGTAAATCGTTGAAGTAACGTCGGTACTACTTCTTCTCTATGCACTTGACTTTATTTTGCTCTCTTTTCGATACATAGTTAAGGAGCACCTCATAAACTATGCACTCTCAAATTTGCAGCTACAACAGAGCCCAATAAGCCGGTTAAAATCGCCCTTTCTTGTCAAATTGTTTTCACTCATTTTTTGGCATTCCCATAAACGCATAGCAAAAACGAAACCCATTTTTGTGACCCTTATATGGACCCCTACAACATGCAACAAACCATTTCCAAAAAGCGCGCCATGACCTGAAACACCTCCCTTGTTAGAATCTCAAGAAGGAAGGACTTCAAAATGCGGGCCAGCAACTACGGGGCGTTGGTTCCAAGAAGTGAGATAGGGGCGGGATGGGTAGGATGGTTAATGGTGGGTAGCAGGAAGTGATGGCAGCTGGTAAGGTACCAAAGGGGGTCTTAAAATGGAGGGTCACAAACTTCATTGCGCGGGCCCCAGCAACGACGGGACGCGGATTCCAAGAAGAGATAGGAGGCAGGATATGAAGATTATTAGCGCGCAGCAGGTGATAACAGCTTATAACTCTAGAGCAAGCTCCCCCCCCCTCCCAAAAAAAAATCATAGCACAAGTTGTAGCAACACTGCAGAACTGCTTCCAGCAAGTGATTCAGAGGTGGTTACGGAAATTGTGGGTGAGAGATGAGTTGTCTCCGACAAGGGCTTGTATTCACATCTCTACTCTACTCGCCACCGTGGCCCAAGAATCTGTGTGCAAAGGCTTAGTGAGTCAAGACGTTTCTATCCTTCAGCGATACAGTCAGATTAATTTGACCGCTAAACTCTCGAGCTAACAAATGATGGGAGCTACCAGCAAACGGATATGCTCAGCGGAAGGACTAGGATGTGAGGACATTCACTGTTACCATCAAAGCTCTTTCAACCGTTGAGCTGCACCATTTCTAACTAATGGGGGGGGGGACTTTTCGCAAATGCGATAAGCACCAGACGTTGGCAAATTTTCATAAGAAAGGGGAATCATAATGAAATGAGCCGTACTTTAAAAATGGGAGTTGGGCCAAGTATTAAGAGACAGCACAGGAATTCTGTCAGTGATCAGTACCGTAGATGCTCAAAACGGTTTAGATATTTTGTTTTGGATTTTCAAAGCTAGCAGTTGTTCCGAAGAACGTCACCGGACCAGTTATGAAGCAGGGATTGAAAACTCTTCAGCCTGTACTCTGGTGCTGGTCGCCTCGAAACACTGTTTGGACTCATGAGAAACCTTTCGCACAGGGCACATCGTTGTTGGGGAATCCCTAATAGGTGGGGGGTCGTATTTGGCCGCCAGGAGAGGGGGGTCGTATTTGGGCTGGGAAAAATTTATTTTGATAGTTGATTTTTCTCGCTTCACGGACGAAAAGAGGAGGGGGTCGTATTTACTTCCTGGCTTTCCTAGGAGTGGTGGTTGACTTTGATTTTCCTGTTTCATGCGTACTATATGCCCCCCCCCCGCTCGACAGCAAAATTTTTGGGAAAAGTAGGGAAGTTTTCGGGAAATTTTGGAAAAAGTGGCAGGAAGTTGGGGAAAATCTGAGAATTGGTAGAAGGGGGGGTCGTATTGTCTCGCGGCTTTTCCTGTTTCACATGTGCTATTTACCCCCCGCTCGACGGCTCGATTCGATGAGGAGGGACAGAGGGTCGAAGGAGGAGGGGGTTGTATCATCCCCCCCCCAAAAAGGGGGAGATGTCGTACAGAGTCGACTATAATCCCCAACCGATGATATGCCCTGCTTTCGTAGCAGAATAAACCATGTCAGGTGCTCTCCTAGTCTCTCGAAAAAAAAAATCCAGAAAACGACAACTTGAACCAGGAGCTGGATCCAGTGACAGTGTTGGATGACGGTTGAACCCATAACCTTTTTTGTCAGTGTTGGTAATTCCATACATTATCAAAGTCATATGTGAAACGAATCAGAATTAATTCAACTTTAACTTCAATGAATTCAGGAGATTTGCGGGACGTGGAACTTGAGACAGGCCGTGCTGTTGGCAGTCTCCGTGCTTTTCCTTACGTGGTCGTTTTATCCTATGCTAACTTCATCAACTGTATTCTTCAAACAATCTAATATCCACAGGTAAGTTCAAAGCACTGCCTAAGATTAGCTTCCACTCATGTACTTTCCATTGCAACTCCTTTTCTATTTAGGCACGCAGCTGAGCTGATCTCCGCACTACTAATGGTGGTTTTCACTATCTCCTCCGTCATAGGTTCTGCTTTTGTGGACAAGTATCCGAGACGCTTTCTCGTGCTCTTCTCCGGGATCTTAAGCAATGTTTGTTTTGTTATTTTAGCAACATCTACATAAACCATGATACATTTACTTGGTCACCACTCCGTTCATTTAGTTTATCAGGCTCGACCCTTTCGAGAACCCGACTTCAGTGTGCGTTATCCCTTTGAGCCATCCTGCTGGAATTTTCTTAGAAGGTGTCCGACTCTGAATTGTCGAAATGTAAGCGAAATAGCGGTTGGGAACTTCGACTTTTTCAGAGCTTTGAAAGATGTGAAACTACTCGTTCATGAGCTGTTTCGACTCTAAATTAAAAGACAATCCTGCAAATTTGTGATTGTAAGACGTCACGTAACCAGTGAATATTTTTCATGGAGCTGCGGTTCATCTAATGGATGGCTCATAAGAAATGATCCTTCGCTAACGTGGGATTCTGCGATAAGACAAACTGTTTTGCCTCTCCGTTGTGCGAGAATAGGTCATCAGAGAGCGATCCATTTTTCTTTAACACTGTCTTGGTTTAGTTCAGTTGTAAACCGATCTTGCAACAAGAGTAGCCGACATTTACTCTGTTCGGTCGATGCGCGGACCATGAGCATGGTATCCACTGCAAAGCGGAGCTTATGTAGTTGCAGGCTACCAACCTTTCCCCCCGTCTCTCCATCCTGGCTTACGCACAGGGTACAGCATCGTTGTGTCAAACCCATGGGGGGGTCGTACTTTTGCTCTGGGGAGGGGGGTCGTATTTGTAAGACAAATTTATTTTGATAGTTGATTTTTTCTTGTGGAAAAGGGGGTCGTATTAATTTTTTATATGCACTATATGCATTCTTGTACGCCCGTGGGATATACGTTGCATAGTTATTATATACAAGCACTCGACAACTTTTTCGCCGACTACAGGGGGGGCCAAAAAAAAGTCATTTTGCCTCCATGACTTTCAAGGCGCTATAAGTTACACTTTATTAAATTTTTATCGGACATTTTTACTACCATATTAAAGAGCACATTAAATACTATAATGATACTCCGCCACAGCCTTCTGGAGGAGCGCCATCGAGAGATTCGGCCGCGCGAAAGTGAGTGGGTACCGGAGTTGAGCGAGATCGTTGATTTCTCCGCCACTGTAGACCACCCTGTTGAGCTCCGCCCGAACTAGGTAATTGAGTGGGTTCAGGTCAGGGGACATACTTCAATATTACATCTTCTCAGGTACGAAACGCCCTTCCATTCGAAGTAGGCGGGAGTTTTTCCAAAACCCTTTGATTCCATGTGGTGGCACCCAAACCTGTAGCAGCACAAGGTCTCCAAGAAGGTACGGGCGACCACATGTAGGGAGGATATTCTTCTCGAGTTACTTGATGTAACCGCCAGCGCTCACCTTCAGTCGGGGTCTACAAAGAAAATATCGGTCTTCCCCTTCCAGGTACCCCGGTCCATACCATCAACTCGCGCCTCGGCGAATACGGTGAAGATGATGTCCTAGACCGTAGCGACGTTGCCGTAGCTGCTCGATGTGGGAGGTCTTGCAGATCAAGAGTACTGACCTCCAGGTAGCTATCTGTGGATGACTTCATTCAAGAAGTTTCGCAGCTGTTTGGAGGCGACGTGAATTCCAAAGGTGTTCTCCAGTCAGGCCGCGACTGGAGATGACTTCATATTTTGGCGTACATGAAGGCGATTGGCGGCAGCCTGCTCCAGCTTATAGAGGAAGATCTTGGGTATCTTCCACTCTGGTACTCATATCCACTTCCCCTGTCTGGGCTGCGAAAACTTCGTTGATATGTGGCTCGGCCGAAATGACTTTTTTTTGGCCCCCCTGTATATACTCATTGCTCGTCGTCGGCGAAAAAGCCGTGGAGGGGAGGGGTCGTGCCTGGACCCCATTCGAAGGGGGGGGGGTCGTACTCACACCGACATTTCGCACATCCCCATGCTGTACCCTGCTCAGGCATGATGGATCTCGACAGCAACACTGAAGAATTCGGGCGAAGTCGTGTGTATTTGTCAAACCAATTCTTTCACATCGATGATGATCGTTGGAGATTGGTGAGATCCTGCTGCATCCTGGTTCCTTAGGGTTCCGATTACTGCTTCTGTCTCAACGGGCAGGGAAGCTTTCATCGGAGTGATGAAATATGACATAGCGGCACCTTTTACTTGACTCTGTAGAAATGATTGATCGTGCTAGGCCTCTTCAAAGCCTGCTGCTCGTATAATTGTCCTTCAGCGCTCTGTATGCAGGACGCTGAAAGGTGAGCTTGTAGGTTACAGACAGTGGACATATTCGATAACTGCGATCATGTTCCATTTTTTATTCGCAGCGCAGTCAAATTGGTGGTTCAGAAGTGGATAGCTTATGTTCTGAAAACGACAATCAAAGATCCTCTCACCCACTCCTGGGCCGAATACGGCCACGTGGGGCCCGCCTAACGGTGATGTGTGATGATTGCTTATTGGGCCCATTTGCATTAATGTTCAAATGTTTCGAAAACTCAGCATTACTATTTAGTTCTTCCTGGTCTTGTTCGCCGTGTTCTCGCTCTTGGCATACCTTAGTCCATGGGTGAGATACGCATGTATTGCATCAGCAGTATGTTACTGCATTTCGTTCGGGTACGTCTCCATTGTTGTATTATTTTTAGTAAGAATGAATTTAGCAGCCATTTGTGTGTACGTTGTAAGGGTTTGGGACTCATTACCTGTAGGGGCAGCACGGAACAGTTAAACACGGTAACAAATGGCTACGATTTGGCACTGACCAATACCTTCGAAGTGGCTCAATGCGTTTAGCTGCAATTTGGTTTTTCTGAAGACTATGAGTGCGAGCTGGAGCTGCAGTTTTTTCGGACTGTCAACCACTTATGTTATGAAACTGGAATCTTCCGAAGGGACTAGCTTTGTTTAGGGTGGAGTACGGTCATACGGTCGTGCAGTTATCCATCGGGGTGCTATTTCTACACAATGACTGCACAAACTGATGCATTGCATAGATTGATTTTTCTCTCATTTTAAACATACGTGCTGCTGTTCTTCACAGGAAGCAAATTTATCACCGCTACACGAATTTCTCATATTCAACCCTGGACCCTGAATAGTATCAATAGCAGATAAATAACTCCCATGTTTCTTGTCGATCGTAGACCGGTATAATTTGCGCTGCCCCTAAAGGTGTGCTCGAAATCCCTGAGATCGGGTAGGCGTGGCTGCATTCTTCAACTTAACCTGAAGGTGTATGCTTCTGGTGGAATATTTCCATCTTGACACAACTGTTGTCGTGTCTCTGTCCAACACAGAACAAGATGACAGTTGTCCCAGACTGGAATATTCCACGAGTAACCAGTTCCGTGCCATGTTCAAATGCCACGCCTACTCTGGCTCAGGGATAAGGAGTGTAGTTAGCGCCAAGAATTTTCCTTTTGTGCAAACGATCTTGCGTTTAGTATGGTGCTTGGACCTGTTTCGTGGTTTGTCGCGCCGGAGCTTGTGCCTGTCAAATACAAATCATTGGTGTTCTCTTTATGCTTTGGTGCAAACAACGTCTTCATTGCAATAACTGACTTTTTGGCTATCATACTCTTCCAGGTAAATTCATTCTTTTTTTTCTTTTAATAGCCCTTTACGGCTTTCACACCACAAACTGCCCTCGATGGCCGTTGGTGAGGAATCCAATCCGTTTTGTTACCAGGTTTCCATAACTAATATCGGTAAACGATTACGGTGATTCGCGAGCTGAGATGTTTCAATGATTTACAAGGAGGTGAGAAATCGAGAAAATAGCCTGCCTTCTGAGGCGTCTGCGAGCCATCGCCTAGAGCGTATAGCAGCTCCTAGTGGCTAGAGAAGCACAAGCATCAATTCAGCGTTTAGAGCACACGCCACCGCCGCACAAAACGCTGGATCGATACCTTTACCTTCCTACTCGCTCGCTGAGTATGAACGCACTTTAATCAGCATGCTCGCAGAGGTACACGCGACTAAGCGCGCCAAAAGCATCAGAACGAAGCAGCTGCTCTTTCTACTAATTCTTTCTGATTGAATTCTGGAACTAATAGGTTGTAACATGAGCTTTTGTTACAATTCGATAGGTTGTAACATGAGCTTTTGTTACAATTCGACTTTTTTTGTTTTGATTATTCGGCATCAGTATCTATCACCTCTGCCAACGTGTGGGTAAGGAATCAATCCCACGGAAAGGTGCGAGGCGATGAGTTGAAGCATCGTCGTATTGAGTTGGCCCATAAGTAATGGCGCTTTTTTTCAATTGGAAAATTTTGTTTTAAAAAGTGAAACGTTTTGCTAGCAATTTTTATGTCGTCTGACAGGGAACTTCTCGTATTATAAGACTGTCGAAACAGCTTTGGGTGAGGAAATTATTTCTGTAAGTTTTTTTAGTCGCTGAAGTTGAGAGTTGAGATGGCGAAATTAGTACCTTCGACGACAGCTGCCTCTATTGACGTCTAATCGAAGTGCTAAAATCGCTCAAGCTGCTCCATACATTTGCAATAGGTTGAGCTAGAAGTCTCAGCAAGGAAAACCTCATAGGACGCTTCGGAACTAACACCAAAAATTTCGAAGTTGGCAACCTTCACCTCGCACACAAGGGGCAGGATCACAAAGTCAGCGTTGTTCCACTTGAAATTTTATGTTAATATTTGGATGTTTCGCCGATGTGTCTGGTATGATCTGATAGCAAATTTTGTGCTCTATAACACTGCAGTGGAAATCTCTTTTCCATAGCTGTTTACTTTCTGTTAATTTCAGGTTATTAATACGGAATGTCAGGTCGATGAGAATCAGCATTCCCGACTTCTTCTCCCTACCGCTTTCCACGGAAGCTTCAAAGCCCCTGGAGCAGCTCAATAGATTCGCCATGGTTTGAGTAAAGCATTGAGTAACAGATTAATATTAGGACGGCTCACAATGATTTTGAGAAAAGCAAAACCGACAACGCTGACCTTGCAGACATCCGGTCGACCCATACTCACGATTTTTTTTGTTTTCCTGATTGAATTTCAAGTACAATATTTACAACAATGTAAGAAATAGAGATGTTTACAATGAACTAGTCAATAATATATTCTCCATTGTGTTCCTACAACCTCCTCTCACCGGTCAGCCAGCTTTTCAATGCCTTCTCGGTGACTGACTCAGCGTTGTCGGTTTTGCTTTTCTCCGAAAAAGCTATGGCCGTCTTAATATTAATTTGTTACTTGATGCTTTACTCAAACCATGGCGAATCTATTGAGCTGCTCCAGGGGCTTTGAAGCTTCCGTGGAAAGCGGTAGGGAGAAGAAGTCGGGAATGCTGATTCTCATCGACCTGACATTCCGTATTAATAACCTGAAATTAACAGAAAGTAAACAGCTATGGAAAACAGATTTTCCATTGCAGTGTTGTAGAGCACGAAATTTGTCATCAGAGCATAAACACACGTCGGCGATACCATAAAATTTCAAGTGGAACAGACGCGATGACTTGTGCCCCTTATTTGCGAGGTGAAGGTTGCCAACTTCAAAATTCTTGAAATTAGTTCCGAAGCGTCCTATGAGGATTCCCTCGCTGGGACTTCTAGCTCAACCTATTGCAAATGTATGGAGCAGCTTAAGCGATTTTAGCACTTCGAATAGACGTAAATAGAGGCAGCTGTCGAAGGTACTAATTTTCGCCGACTCAACTTTCAACTTCAACGACTAAAAAATTCACAAAAATCATTTCCTCACCCAGAGCCGTTTCGACACTCTTATTGATCTATCAGATGATATCAAACTTGCTCACAGAAGCTTTCTTTTTCCGAAAAAATTTCCAGTTGAAAAAAAGCGTCATTACTTATAGGCCAACCCAATAGATCGCACCTCAGGCCATCGCGGTCGCCGAAGCTACTACGACGACCTTGGATAAGATTCACAGGGCGCGGAAAAGGCTGTAGGTAAAGAATGGATTTGTAGACGCGTCGATTTTGCCGTATGCGGTTTCTCGTTTTCGTGCAACAATGAGATCCGTCCAACTCCTGGGCGTAAGAGTACGTTTTCGTACCAAGGCTCTCAGCTGGCGGCAGTACTCCTTCGCGATGATAGTGGCATTTCCCTGAAGAAGCTCTCAGTGGATGACGTCTAGCCGATCCCAAATCGACAGCAGCGCCTTCAGTGGTTAGGGACAAGATTCTCCTTTTTCTCCGTAATGGGAGAGGCTATAACCTGCCAGTGCGGACTCTAGCCTGCCGATCTGCATCATTTTTCAAAAGTGGGCGGGGCTTCTACAAAGTGGGCGGAGCTTCCATTTGGGCGGAGCCACTTGGCATAACCTAAAAAGCGAAAATCCGGCAGAAAAATCAAAATTCCGGCAAAAAACACAAAGTGGGCATGGTCGGAGGGGCGTTGCTTGATGTGCTAGTGAGTAAATGCGTGGCTATAAGTATATGAGCTTTGTTTTGTGAAGATCGAATGTGAAAACGACTGCATCGAAGAAAGTTATAAAATTGAAAAATTGCCGTAACTTCATTGAAAAGTGGGCGGAGTCATGTAAGGGTCGGTACCTCCTATTCAGTCAATGTGTGTGTCAATATCAAAGGTAAAAAATTCGAAGAAGCAGAATTCATAAAACATTTGGAAAACCATGGCCGCGCTAAGAAGTGGGCGGGGGTGTTGGGGCGGGGCTTGCAGCAGTACCTAGTGTGGTCTAGTTATCAACTGCCCATTGTAGGGGTGTGTCCGATTTGGTTTGAAAAGTGTCCGATTTGGTTTGAAAAGTGTCCGATTTGGTTTGAAAAGTGTCCGATTTGGTTTGAAAAGTGTCCGATTTAAAGTGAAAATGGTATATGTTGCACAGAGTAGACACTAATACACGCACTGCCCGTCCGCCGATATGAAATGTGAGTGTAAATTTTGTTGCGGCAAAAGGAGTGATGACCACATGTACACTCACATTACACAAATTATTACACTATATACTGCATGTCTACTAGTTCTTCAAACTTCTCATTTCTTAGACATATACCCTCTTGAGTGCACTTTTATTTATGATTTATTATTATTTATTTATTATTCATTGAACTTTTGATTATTATTAACTCTTACTCATTTATTGAATTTTCATATATTACCAACTAATGATTACTTATAACACCTACCAGTGTTTTACCCAATTCTCAAATTTTCTGAAGTGATCGAACATCTTATTTATTTATTTACTTGATCTTGATTTTTTTCTACGTTTGTTTTGTGGTAAGTAAAATTTCGTTGAACACTATCAGCTGTGAAAGGTATCTTTCAGAAGTATGGAGCTATTGTCTTCATTCCGCTCTTCACAATACCGTCATGCATCTGTCTCGTGTTCATCTATCTATATCTTCCGGAGACAAAGGGTAAAGAAATTGAAGAGATCATTAAGGAGATGTTCACGATGGCAAAAAAGTCGCCAATGACGGGCGAAGAGAGTTCCCAGCGGGTACGACCAGCATGTGATATATTTGCAACAAAATCGTCTTCGGTTGTTTCGACGTGATCACTTACAGTATGAAGGACTGATCGTGTGAACTATTTCACTGAGAGCTTGATTAGGCTTTTTTCATAGTGCTGCACGCCTCCAATACGCACACATCTCTGACTTTTACAAGGTCTTGCGCAGCATTGAGACCTTTTAGATTAGCCACACTTTGATTAGCATTTTGTAGCCTTTTAAGCGACATGATTGACGATCTGCTGTGCGGGGAAACTTTTAATGTTTGAAACACATTCTCTTTTTCGACAGAGCACTCTTTACTGCTTCCTTTTAACGACTAGGGTTATCACTATGTACTTATTTGACATGCTTTGGTTTGAAGGGTTGTGCTTTGCAAGTTGTGCCACTGTTTCAGAGTACACAGAGTTCAGAAGGAATAGGCCAAAGCACGGAATCCGAATAATGACCAGAAAATGAAAATTTGTTATACATTTATTAAGTGTAGATATTGCGCATGCCTTCATTTTAATATTTTAAAGACGACAAATGCATATCAGTGAAGTCACAACTTTACATAATAAGGAGTTACGATCTTGAGATCAAGATTTGTTTCGGTAAACCTAGCCGTATATGCATGAGTGTTACATTGTTAGTAAATTATCAATGGTGCTTTATTATCAAATTTCACGATCCCATAAACCAATTCAATCCGTGTCTCGTTTCAAATAAATTTTTAATGTTGTGGTTATTCGCATGTAACGGGTGAGCATGAGCGAAAAGCACCGCTTTGAATGGTCGTTCTCTGCTACCAGCCCTTCTTTAGTTCCCATCCCTGAGGTACGCAGCGTGGAACGAGAAAAATCGACAAAGTGAACGACCGTAAAAAAATGTTGCAGAGCAGATCCCCTGCTCCTCAACGAACAACAAATGCACGTCGCCGGCTGTCCCCAACCGGAAACGTGCCTCGATTAGGGACACTGTACAGACTCAGAGTGATATTCGTTTTCGCTTGATTTCCTGCAAGAAAGAAGGACTGAATTCCACTTTGAAGAAGTCTTTTTAGCCGGCATATAGAGGTCTACGTACGCACACACCTCCGATATTGAGAGATTGCGAAACTAGGGCGTATGAAAACTATTCATCACGTGGACTCGAATTCCTAGCTCTCCCTCATCTGTCCGCGAGCCGATGTGTCCACAGCAAGCAAGATCCCCACTGCAGCCGCTTTGATGCGTTCAAATGGGCCGGGGAAAAGGGGTTCGAATAATTGTGGCTCATCTTGCCGCATGTCGTCCATTAGTATTGCATTTGATGCAAATTCATGAGATGAAATTCAACTTCAACTTGCAAGTCACAGAACGGTAAATGTGTAAGTAAGTAAGTGTGTAAGTAGTGTGAGTGTAGTAAGTGACATAGAATTCAATATTCCTAATTATCAGGCCATAGTTCAACTGTTTCCTCAGAGACGGTCTGAACTGAGCAATTTCCTCTCTTTCTGAGTGTCTATGAATCAGCTTCTTGCCAGCACGGCTTTCCGCTTTAATACAGTGCTTGGTGGAAATTCCTACAGCTAGTTCGATAATCCTGAACTGCAACGCAAGCTGCTTGTGCTGCTTCCATTGGTAAGACCCCATATTTGTTGTTTGGCCACCGACCATTCTAATTTTTAGATACCGGCGCATTTGCGATCCCTCTACGTGGACATAGAACTTCTTTGAAGGCACACAAATTCAAGGAAGGCATAGTGGACTTTGATTCTTATTCGAGTGTAGAATGCCACTATATTGCAGGTGCAAAGGCTCCCTGCTTAAAGACAGTCGGCACGATGGTTTCCTACTTAGCCTAAAATGCTAGTAGGGCGCTGTATAGTGGGGAAATGGCGAAAGAACGGAGTGAAACGGTCAAAATCCTGCGAAGAAAAAGCCTCCGTTCTCAGTGACTTGTAAATCGATTTCGGACGAGTTTCCCGTAGGCATCTTACCAATCACCGCTACCGAAGATACGGCTGCATATGTGTACCCATGCAGCATCACGGCCGCTTCATACCAATCCCTTCGCTTCATAATTTGCTTAGCAAATGAATCGATTAGAGCGTCAGGAACGGTCGTCCATTTGTGGGCGGGCGGGCGTTTTGGGACGTAAAGTTGTGGCTTGATAGGGCCCTTATAAGGGCACCTTCCTCGGGGAAACCGCTATGCAGCGCCTGCCCAGGGTCGCGGAATTCTATCCTGCCAGGAGTATTGATCCTAGTCGTCTTGGGGGATTTATCGTGCCAACTGCCTTTAACTCTACTGGTGATGTACAACCTTCTTTTTCGATGGTGGAACACCTTTTCTCACTTGTTGCGGACATATCCTTAACGAAGTGCTAGGTGACACAATTAAGCGCAGGAATGTCGTGCTCAATAACAGATTGTACACTTGACCTCCAAGGACGGTCCTGCCCTAGTGGTAGGTAAAAGGGTTCGTAGTTGTGCAGTAGCGTGCCATTTTCTCCACTCAAAATTGTACTGTAGTGGGCTTGAAGGTAACGATACTCGGGTACCACCTTTCAACTGCACCTCCCCTAAATGTGCAGCATTTGCACCCCAATGTGCCGGAGCGAAACACGCAGTCAGCGAAAAAGAACACCGACCCAGAAGCGAGAGGGTGCGGACGAGTAGCACGCACTACGGTTGGGCGTGGGCTGATCTCGCGGCAGCGCTGTTCGAGTTGGTGACGGTATCGCAACCCAGCTTTGCTCCCGTACCTTTTGACTGGAGACAGGGACGCGCCACTGCAGCTGCTGACGCG